CCAATGGGATTGATTAAGTCTAGAGTCGAAATCCTTCGGGATGCCAAAATAGGAAAAACTGCTTATCGTTGCACAACCAACGAGGGCACCATCGCTATACAACGAGTTGGGTTGTGGATCTGGCATGATCAACCAGTCTGCCGTGGGCCCAGATGGTGACCTAACCCACCTATGCTAGACTCCAAAATGGGTATTTTACTTAATGTTGGTGCGGTTGAATTACCACAAGAGACTGATTTGCCTGTGTGATTGAGAGAGGTCTCTGTTAGGCCCCGCTTCCAAAGTCATGCACTCGTTCGCAAGATCATGACTGAAAACACCCAACAAGAAGCCCGCGAGGTCTAGGACGAAAGGAGCGGATAATACATTGTACTACAGAACAAAGTATCCCCTAATTTTGTGGCATAAGATATCTCAAACGGAGTCAAGCTGGTCAATCGAATTGGTTACTTCCTCATCAATAAATGTGATTTTGTTTTTCTTATACTCGTTTATTTTCTAACGCACCAGGGACGTCTCTTAATAGGGTCTGGAAAAATTATCGACACAGATACCCTAATAAGAATATTTGTGCGTATTTCGGCCACTCAGACCAGAAGCATCTTTGATGATACTCGAGGAAGTAGCAAATATTTGCACAACCCACAACCGACTCTCAAAACTCTGAGGGACGCGCATATGTATGATCAGATTAGAAAGTGTATGAGCGTGCACTTTCAGGGCATGCGTAGTTTGAGACAACACTTTTGTTATTTAATGAAATGATGTTGTAATTGCCGACTTCGCTCAAATAGCGTGGGCTAGAGAAAGGTTTAAAGTTTTGATTAGTATCACGTGCGCACTGACTGCGCGCGCAAAAAACACTGGCGGAGTTACGGTTGACGTCGAGTTTAACCACTAAAACCTTGGTCAGAGATAAATTTCGTTGACTTATCGAAAGGCGACGTTTGGGTTCGCATAGTGTGAGGTGCGTTGTGTATTTTAATTTGGCCATGTTGGCAGTAGAAAACAATTAATGACCTTAGCTGGGTTGGCGTAAACAGGGTGTGGCTGCACAACAATCGGGGTTTTTCCGACATGGGAATAGTAAAGAGTGTGGCATTTTTCAAGGAATAGCGGATAGGAGTCGGGTTCCTTGAAGGCAATGCAACTAGGTGATGTGCATGGCCGCCATGATCAAAATCGACCTCTTCAAGCATAAGGTGCAGGAGTGTGGCTATCGTAGAAGTGGCCGTAGACCAAGGAGAGGCCTTCAGAACAATATGATAGGTCTCGGCCAGGGCGGATACCTTTTATAAGGATGTTCGCGGCTACTACACCCAGCCTTGGGCCTAACACTATTGGTTACGACATTGGACTTTCACACGACGGTTATAGGGATCGAGGCCAGCCGATGAGGATGCCAATCTTGGTAAGCCAATCTTGTATCACTCAACCTTTCTCTCTCCCCCCCCCTCTCTCTCTCTCTCTCTCTCTCTCTCTCTCTCTCTCTCTCTCTCTCTCTCTCTCTCTCTCTCTCTCTCTCTCTCTCTCTCTCTCTCTCTTCTTCTTCGTCGTGGTCTTCTCTGCAGGTGCGCGCGGCGGCTTCTTCAACCTCCAGGTCCGCTATGGCGGACTTCTTCTCTCGATGGCCACCTCTGCTATGGCGCTTAGCTACCTGCGGCACACGGCGATGCGTGTGGAATAGCGAGTACCAGCTCCGATACCAATGCAATCAGACTCGCTCTCATTCACACTTCTCATGCATGCAAACAGGTGCGCAGCAAACTGGCGACAAGCGCCCACTCAGAACTCAGAGATATGGTAATCGAGAACACAGTTCAGATTCAAGTTCACTTCGATCGCTATAGCAACTCAGCACCCACACAACTCTTTGTTCGCATACACAGGATCACCCTGGATACCCACACGCGATACTCAGAACACACACACACACTCACACTGCACTTTACCTACAGCTATGGTGGCTATGGCCGCTACTACCCTATCGCTATGGCTAACTCCTCTCTCGCCCACTTCGTCTTCGGGCTCTCTGCAGACCACCTCGCACAAGTCTCTTATGGCAGCGCTTCCGCATGGCTCACGCAGGAATCAATGCATGACTGGGCGCTGCCTCTTGATTTATACTTCTGCAGCTCGTTGGTCTGGCCCTTTCTCCATGCCCAAAGTGCACACAGTCCTATGCGGTACTTGCTTGACTGGACCAGGACTGACTGGGGACTGGGACTGTTGACTCAGCACGGGTAGACTCCACCACTTGCCCACTTGCCTCACCACTTGCCCACTTGCCTTAGCTTAAACGTGGGCAACTTCGAAAGGCCACTAGTGGGACCTTCCGAAAGGCCGTAGACTTGGCGTTTCGTTACTGTAGCAGCTACGACCTTGACCTTTCTGGACTGTAGCGGCTACGACCTTGACCCCTTGAGACAGCTACAGCTACGACTGCTAGACCTGACTGGAACTCCTACTTGACAGGTCTACAGATCGAACCCCTACTACCTATGGGCCCTACGACAACCTACCAGCTGTTACAAATACACAGGTCACGGGTTCAACTCTAGGGGTCGACACCGATACTGTACACAGGTAAGGTGGGGAGTAGGGATCAATCCCTGGGATCTGCATCAGCTACTGCGAATTGGTGAATACCGTTTCAAAGCCAAGAAATAGCAAAATATGGGGAAAAAGGGAACGGACACGTCGAGATGACGAACAAATCTACAAAGCAGAGAGACAAAAATGGAAAAAAAAAAAAAGCAGAGAGAAATGAGCCAAGTACTCGTCAAGTTCAACCTCGCATACATCAATGAATATTCGCATGAGAGTTCACATTTGAGAAGCCAAATCAAGATACAATCAACACTTGAAGATGTCGTCTCCAATATTATTATCAATAAACAAGAATGTTCATCTCCAGCAGCTCTGCCACACACACGCACAACGGATCTCAACCAGATAGCGGCTATGGGTTCTCCCCTCTTCTCTCTCGCTCTCTGACTTGACTCACTCTGCCTCACTCTCTCTCTTCTCCTCTCTCTCTGCCCTGGATCGTTACCTTGGATACACCCAGTCAGGTAGCTTACACCTTGGCGGCTATGGTCGTCGTCCTCCTGCTCTGCCGCTAGCCTAGCTATGGAGTATCTCTCAAGCGCCCTCTTCTTCTTCGGGCGCACAGTGCCCAAGTTGCCTTAATGCACAAGGAGCAGCAGCACTTCCACATTTTGCAACTGAACAAGTGCCGAGCCTCTGCACTCTAGCACCTAACTATAGGACTTGACTTCACTTGGCTTGGCTTGGCTTGGCTTGGCTTGGCCTGCTTCAGACCGGTCGCCACGGCCTGTCTGCTGCAAACATTTTATCGGTCCCATAGGTTTCAGACTTTCCTGGGACATGCTGCGAAATTGGACTTGGGACTGTCAGACTGGACTGGACGCTTCTGGACTTTTCTTGTTGGGTACCGGACGGACTCCTACCGACCTACGAAGCTTGTTGCGTACCGGACGGACTCCTATCGATGTAAGACGCTTCCGTACCAACACCTACCAACCTACAACGCTGAAGCTTCGGTACCAACGCCTACGGACCTACGACACTTTGGCCTCTAGCCTCTACGGCCTACCCTACCGGACGGCCCTGGAACTTGGGACTGCCCGTCTTCAGCGTGAATCCTTTCAGTAAATGCATAGAGAGAAAAAGAGAGAGGGAGACTTCATCCTCCTCCCCGGACCCCCCCCTTCTTTTTTCCTTCTGCCACCTTCTCCTTGTCACTCACCATGATCCTCTCGCATACCACCTCTACTTCTTTCTTCCTTCTGCCATCTTCTTCTTGCCACCCATCACTCATCATGATCCTATCCCATTCCCTTCTACTTATTTTTTCCGTCTGCCAACTTCTTCTTGCCACTCATCATGACCCTCATCCCTTCCTGTGGCTCCTCCTCCTCCTCCTCC